AGTAGAAGGACATAATCACATGGGGAAAATCTCACCCCCCAAAAGAGCAATGAGTAAGCCTAGCTTATCCTGGGTCTTGTCTTTATTGTATGCTGCCTTTATTTACCCTCCAATTGCCAATGAATGGCCAGCACACACTGTGGGGATTGACTTATATGAGCCAAGCTTATATACTGAAGATATTGGATATGTGTGTTCTGACTAGCTGAAAAAAACTAAAATTTATTATGTTCAGCATATAAGCTAGGCTCATATAAGTCAATCCCTAAAGTGTATAGGCTAGGAACAAGCATACTAAAAACTACTATCCAGGAAAAAGTGGGCACAGGGCCCTAATGCTCTAATGAAGGCTAGCATTTCTTCATCATAAATTTGATAGTTGTGCTCTGTAGGCAGTAAGCTAGCTCCATGAGTGGCAAACTATGTGATGGATAGACACAAGGCCTCCAAGAATCTCCAGGGCATTTGATTCATGGAATAGCCCCTGTAGCAAAGTCAGAAAAGTTGGTTTCTAACTGATACTCTTTTTTAAGCTTATCAAAGCTTCCTGTTCCTAGGGGCCCCAATGCCATGGAACATTCTTTTTAGTGAGATTATTGAACAGTCTCATGAGTTTTGCAAAGTTTTTGACAAATCTTCAATAGAAATTGTCTAAGCCAAGGAAGGCCCTAATTCCTTTAATATGAGTAGATCCTGGCTATTCCAAAATAGCTTGAACTTTCTCAGGATCCATCCTGATTCAGTTTTGGTCTATTATCATACCAAGGAAGTCTATTTTCTTCACTTTAAAATTATTTTTTTGGGTTTGACAAATAGGTTCCGTTCCTATAAGTGTTGAAGGACTTCTTGCACAATCCTGTCATGCTCAGCCTTATTGTCCAACTTTATAAATATTAATAAATTGTCAATGTAAATGATAACACAGTTTTCCATATCTGTAAAGATTTCACACTCTGGAAGGACGCTGGTGAATGGGTCAACCCAAAGAACATAACAAGGGGTTTAAAAGAATCCTTGGTGACACTTGAATATGGCCTTCCGTGCATCTTCCTCTTTGATTTGTACATTATTGTACCCCCATCTGAGATCCTTCTTTGTCAGGATTTTGGGGCTAGCCAATTTGTCTATTAGCTGACTGATCAAAGGCAGCAAATAATGCATTTTTAACCGTGTACTTAGATAGGTAAAAATAGTCCATAATCATATGCTTCTTACCATCTTTTTTAGGAACAAAGAACACTGGGGACATCATAAGGCTTTTGGAAGGTCTAATATAACCCTCCCTAAGTTGCTCATCTATGAAACTGGAAATCTCCTCTCTTTCCGGAGCAGAAAGGGGAGTTATGTGTCCCTTTTTCTGTTTGAAGATGTGCTTCAAATTTATAGTATGGTCACAAAGCTTAGCCTCTGGGAAGCATTCTAATTTATACTTAGAAAAGACTTTTCAGAAGTTATGGTACTCTGTGATAAAATTGGATATTTACTAGACCAGGGATTGAACCTGGAACCTTCTGGATACATGCCAGCTGCTCTACCAATTGAGCTATATGGCCAAGGTTATACAATGTAGGATCTTAAACATAACATGCAACCACGGATGTCTTACACAGAATAGCTGCTGCATACTGGGCTGGCTTACAAATCAGAGGTATTGTCCTATGGAGTATTGGTATGTCAGAGTTTATTTTAACACTCTGGAGGTACCATCTTCTTAATCTCTTTTTTGGGTTTTATGTCATCATTATTATCATCAACCTTCACTAATGACCTGAGTTTCGCATAAATGTGACCAGTCTTTACCATTTTCTCAGTCTTGGTGTGACAGGTATGACTCAGCTTACCCAAGTTGTTGCACTCCTGAGGACAATATGACAATGTGGCAACCCCTGTCTGCCAGATGATCTCAGGATTGTACTTAAATAGCAAGATGTAGTCTGAGATGAAATTTTCCCTAGTTGGGTAGCTTCTTATGGTGACTTGTTCTCTGTGTCCTTGTTACAACCAAGAGTTTGTATACTCTGGCGCACAACTCAGACAAGCTTGTCATTTGTAGGACAGTATAGTAGGTTGATCTTATTTTGTTCAATAGTTTCTTGTACAAAGTGGTAAAGAATTATTTTTGATGGTTTTGATGCGGTCTTGATTTTGGTTCATATGTTTTGCTTCTTTGGTTACACATGAGATTGGTATGTACTCAGCTTCAGTAGTAGGCAGTGCAACCAGTGGTTTCATTTTTGAGTTCCATGATACTGCACCTCTGTTGACTCTGAAAAAATAGCTGGAGATGGAGTGTCTGTGGAGGTGAGAGGCGAAATATGCATCAGTGTATCCTACAAAGTTCTTGCTGGTCAAACCTATTACTAAGTGTAATTTTGTCGTTGTTTTGAGATACTTGAGTACTTGTTTTGCGGCTGACCAGTGGGCTTGTGCAGCATTTTCAAGGAAACAAGAAAAGAATGAGATTAAAAAAGAGATGTCAGGACAAGTGCATTGGGATGAATACATGAGTGATCTAATTGCCCTGTTTGTAAGGTATGTGTATGATTGTTATTTCTTGACTGTTGTTTGCACTGGTAGGTGATTGTCCCTTATCCAGCAGCATACCTGGCTTTATGGGTGCTGATATTGGTTTGGACTCGGATAAATTGAAATGAGTGAGTATAGAGTCAATAAAGGCTTGTTGGCCAAGAGAGATATTGCATGACTTTCTATCTCATTGTATTTCAATATCTAACAGCCATTTTACTTCTCCTAGATTTGTTATCTCATATTCTTCTCTTATGCTTTTTTTGAAGCCTTTGACAGACAAGATGGTACCACCAGAAATTACATATCATTAATAGAAACAGCCACTATAATGCTGTCCTATTTTGTATGGCATACAAACAGTGCGTGGTTGTGTTGGGATTTGATGAAGCCAAGGTGAGCAAAGGTTGTGGACAGCTTTGCATACCACTGTTTTTCAGCTTGTTTCAGTCCATATAATCCTTTATTGAGCTTGCACACTAATCCTTTTTGTTCTGGTTTTATATAATTTGATGGTGGGTACATGTATATGTTCTTGTCAATGATAGCATTCAAATATGCAATTTTAATGTCTATTTGACACAGTTCCCAGTCTTGGGCAGCAGCGTGGGCAAGAACAAGTCAGATAGTTATTAGGCATGATATGGCTGAGTAAGTTCTATTGGAGTTGTTATCATGCTGTTGATTGTTGCCATTTTCAACTAACCAAACTATGAACTTTAGGACCTTGTCTTCAGAACTGCATTTTATTTGAGGGACATAGTGGCATTTTATGATGTTTGCATTTGGTGACGCTTTGACAAAAGTCCAGGTGTGAAAATTCTTTATTTTGTTTAGTTTATCACCAATAGCCTCTAGCCATTGGTCTCTATGAGGGCCTTGTAGTGCTTCAGCCATAGTGGGTATGTAACTGTTGAGTTGGGTGTCCGGTTCAGTCGCTTTGGACTCAATATCAAATATGACCCATCTGCTAGCTCTGGCACGCGGTTTGAGTTGTGCCACACCAATAACCTTCATGTAGGTGGTGCATCCAAACTTGTGGATGTCTTGAAGGTTTGGCTTTGCCCCATAAACCATCTCATAGGACATTTTGCTAGTAGCTGCTCGATTTTTTATCTATACTGTATGTTTTAATGCTTCTCCCCATATATATTTAGGTAGACTTGTGCCTAATAGCATTGCTCGGGCTGGTTCAATGAGTGTGTGGTTTAATTATTCATATACACTATTCTGCTAAGCTGAGTTGTGGCTTATTAACTCTCTGACTGTTCCTTGTTTTTGCAGATATTTGTCAAAATCTGTGCTGGTGTATTCACCACCTCAATCAGATCTCAAGATTCCAATCTTAGCTTGGTTCTTTTGAATGTTCAGACAGGCTTTGAATTTTTTGTACATGGAGATGACCTCTTCTGCTTTGTCATATGTAAGCAAAGGTGTGTTTCTCTGGTATAATTGTTGGTAAATGTTAACATGTAACATGTTCCCTTGATATCTTGAACTGCAGCTAGGCCCCAAACATCCAAGTGAATTCTTTCATCGTTGATTTTGGCTTGGGTCTAACTGGCTCTAGAAAATAGTATCCAGGTAGCCTTAGCATGTATGCATGGTTCACAGAAGACCGCTTTTTTGGATATGTCAAGGTTTATGCCTTCGGGTGAGTCATAATTTATGAGGTGTTGTAGGGAATTATGTGATATGTGTCCGATACAATAATATAACAATTTAACCTGTTGATTGTGGGAGTTGTTGTAAGGTATGCCCTTGGATTCATAGTACCGTTTGCTGACGGTATATGATAGAGTCCTTTAGTCTCCGGGATTTGGGCTATGACGTGACAGATAGGACTAGGAGTGTGAAATTTGCAGATGATTCCTTGGATAAGCAATAAATAGCCAGCCTTGTCTATTTGGCTTGCTGAAATCAGTATAGAGGCCATATTTAGACAGTACAAAGTGTTCTTTAGCATAACACATGAGCTTTGGTGAGGATATTAGGGCCATGTTTTGAGGCCTGAAGATACACTTAAATGATAGTTTGTAGTTTTTATTTTACAGCTGAGTATCTTGTATCACTCATGAAAATTTCTTTATGAACAGGTCAATATCTGAATCATTGCCCAAGGCATCATTTTTTAATCCACCCAGACAGTGTTAAAGACTGAGTGCAATTCCACTGCTCACCTTTGTTTGTTCAGAAAACCTTCCAAACCAAAAATTAGAACATGAGATTGATAAATGCATTTGGTATACCGGCATGAGAATATCAGCTGGCAGCTAGAATAAGCTATCTCTGTTTACAGCTGGTAACAAATTGTTAGACTGTTCTCCACTCAGCTCTACTCACAGTGTTTGTTTAAATGTGGAGTGATACAAACATCAGCTCCACCCAGGCTCTATTGAAATCAGACACAGTAGCAAGACTGTTGACACCAGCCACCGCCACATCGGGTATTCTCATTTGACACAACACTCACCATGTCATATGGCAACCAACAACATATTCCTGCAAAGGAACTGATTGCAACAATGTCTGCTCAGCTAACATGTACTGCAATTGCTTGTGTCACTGGTGTCAGTGCACAAACAGTTCGACAAATCTGGGAACTTTGGCAGGAAACAGGCACAGTACAACAGATTCCAGACAAACAATGGAGACACCGGCTTCTAAATGCACTTGATATTGTGGTAAGGCAAAGTTTTGGCATAATTTTCTGTATTTGACGGTTTTCAGTATCTTACAGGCTGCATTGACCAAACACCAGATATCCAATTGGCTGAGCTGCAAGCCATATTATATCAAGAATGCGGGATCCTTGCTTCAGAGATTACTATCTCAAGAGCATTGCACTGATAAGGCTTTGTGTGGAAACAAATGAGTTATGCTGCAGCAGAGCGAGATGAGAACAAACAAACTGCATACCAGGTGTTTGTTGGTGAAAATTTTTGCCCTCAACAGCTTGAGTTTGTTGACAGGTATGCCACCAAACAAAACACAGCATGGGCACCAATTGGTTCTTGTGTTAGACAGCATGATTTCTTTGTCCATGGTATGCAGTGATTATTTTGCTTCCTATTGTTTTTTGCTCTGATTTGGCTTGTTGTTTAGATATTCTATATTGCCCACCACCTCACTAGATGGTGAACTACACCTCAATGTCATCAATAAATCCTGGAGAGCAGTAACATTTTACTGCTTTATTGAGGGACTTCTTGATAGTATGAGCCCATTTCTGCAGAAAAACTCGGTGATTATACTTGATAATGCTTTGCACAGGAGGGATGCTCTTTGAGCCTTCACAGCTCATTAGTAAAGTCTACTGAGGTTGATAACTGCTCTGACTTGTCAAATGGAGCCTTGCACTCCTTGATGGAAGTGGCAGTTTGCATAGCTGGTTTCTGTAGTCACTTAAGTCAGCTTTGCAAAATAATACAATTTAATCTACAAACTATATTGTGAATAAATACTTCAATTTTTTGTGTGCGGGCCCTGCGGACCAGCCCTTTAACATGCATAATAGTAGTCTGAAGCTTTTTATCAGTTAACAGCATATGATGAGCATCACCAACATGATCCCCAGAATACCTAAAACCTAGTTCAGCTTCTGCTGGGTCATCAGGAAAAAGCCTTTTGCTATATAGCAGAGGGGTTTGTACATATGTGCAAATAAAGCCTATTATAGCACCTATAGCACTTATAGCACTATAAGAGCAACTATAGTATAATCAAAGTCCCTATAGTATTTTAAGAGCAACTATAGTATAATAGCGACCATAGTGTTATACGAGCAATAAGAGCAACAGGAGCAACAAAAGCAATAAGAGTATTATAGACGCAAAATTAAAATGCTATATATGACTACCATAATGTTTGATATGCATATTTGCTACTAAAGTTATTAAGATAAAATTTGTGACAAACATCCAGACTCATAGACATATATTGTGCAAACCACCAAAAGCAGGGATAAGTTGACAAACCTGTCTGATACTGGATAAAGGGATGATTTTTCCTGGAGGAAAACCTTCCGTGTTTAGAGGTTCTTTATCAACAGAGTACATTAAGTGGTCCTTTTCAACTGTGGATTTGAGGTTGCTATACCACTCTACATATGCCAAATGATGTTTTGGCCAATTATTGGGGGATGCGTGGGAACTGTGTAGTGTTTCAGATAGTTTAAATATTACTCTCAATCTCCCAATTCTTGTTCCTTGAATACAGTCATTAGTATTAGGTGTGCTTGTGGTCATAGGGTAAGAGAAACATTACCTTTTATGCCTGTAGCCTCACAATCAGGAGAACTCATCACAACCACTGTGTCAAACTGCGGCAATAGATTGTTTTTTCCACTTGACCTAGCTTGAACAGAATCTACCTGGTCATTCTCCAGGTCGACATCATTGCCTAGGCTATCTAAACAGAATTTGAAGCCATGGAAGATATCAAGGTTTTGAAATGGAAGGGGTAGTAGTCTGGTTTCACAATGTGTATTTGGGTGAGTTAGTTTACTGTTAAGGAAGACTTTGAGTGCTGATTCATATCCAGGACACTGATGCTTCTCCATGATGTCCAAAATGCTTTGCTGACATTTATTAGGATACTTGGCAACGTCATATCTTTGGTCTTGGAATTTGGAGTGAGGGAATTCATCTTCTTCATTATCCATGGTCATTTTCAGATAGCTTTGGAAAGCGACCACCTTTTCACGACGCAGAAGCCATGTCACCATTTGTGGTGCCTTATTCCTTTTATTAGAGGCCCTCTAACCTTCTTTAGCAAAGTTGATATGAAAGCACTCAAACATCTCAGTATTGTAGTTGTCGGTGGTTCCAAACCATGTGATGAACTGGCAGTAGTGGAGGAGAGAGTGGAATTTAGGGATATTCAGGTGTTCTCTTATGCTGAGTCATACCAATATATTTTTATGTTTGTGGAAAGTGTTGAAAACATCCGAAAGGTAGCCCAGAGTGGTGTCGTCATGAGTGGGATACTGTGCTATCTGGATGAAGTCCAAGAGGGATCAGTATGCAAATGTAGTGCTCCTGGGTATTTTTCCAATCAAACATCCTAGTAATATGCGGGCCATATATTTTCTCTCTTTTCCTCCAATCTGGCCTAATGCAGAGATTCCATTTTTGAAATGACAAACACCATAACAAGTAGGAAGGGAGGAAATGTGCTGGTCAAGCTTCTTGGGATCCATAAGGTTCTTGCACCAGTTCATCATATGCTTAAAGACACCTTGGTATAATTGATGGAGAATGTCGGGGGAAACAGATAAATGAATGTCGCAATAAGGGAAGTTAAGCCAGAATGGCTCGTAAACACCACCAGAGACCTCTTTTTCCTTGCACCTCTCCTAAAATTGATTGAAGGAGTTTACATTGACTTTAGCATCATAAATAACTTCCTCAGTCCAGGTCTGTGTATGTGGCTCCCCAGCAGTAGATTCTGAGAGCTCAGAAGCAGGTCTTTTGCATTTGGGACATGTGCCGTACTTTGTACATGTCACAAGACATTGTTCTGGATAATCTGCAATATAGCAAGCCAAGGTAGGATGGACTCTCATTATAGCACCATCTCCCCCAGTGACATTAATTCCTTCAATACCTGCTCTCTTCAAAGGTTCTAGTATAATCCACTATTAAAGTCTATATAGCCAAAGTGTTTTTCCTGATTTCTCAGAGCAACTATAGTCCTATGGTAGCAAAATTTGAAACACTATAAAATTAAAACTACCATAAAGATTGATATGGATATTTACTAGGCTTTGCATGATGACAAAGGGGGAGAGTACATCTCCAAGGAGTTTGAGCAATTCACAGATGATCATGGCATTGTCAGATAGTATACCACCCGGAATAGGCCTCAGCAGAATGGAGTTGCAGAAAGAGCAAACAGGCTTCTCTCTGAAAGAATCACTACCATGCTTTCAGAGTCTGGATTGCCTAATATATTCTGGGGTGAATGCCTAGGTGCCTTGGTGCATGTCTGGAATAGGTGTCCCACTGATGCAGTGGTCAATGCTACTCCTTATCAATTGTGGCATAGACATAAACCAGACATGTCACACCTTCGTGTTTGGGGGTGCACTGTTTATGTGCATGTGCAAAAGGATAAAAGAGGTGTCTTTGGCTCTCACATGGAGAAATGTGTGTTCATTGGTTACCTTGCTGGGTACAAGGGATGGAAATTCTATAATCCTACCACCAAACGAACCATTATCTCTGAAAGAGCTGACTTTGATGAGCGCTACTTCCCTGGCTTGAAAAAGACTTCTACCACTGCCATTCCTACTCCACCTTTTCCATCTTTGCTTCCCATGCCTTTGGGCCTGGATGAGGATGTCCCTGCACCAGGTCCAGGAGGAGATATTGACCCACCAGCTGTACTTCAGCAACCTCAGCACTTGCCTGATAATGGGCCTGATTTGGACCTTGATGCAAAACCACCTGTGAATCAACCTCCTGAGCTTCCAGATCACCCTCCTCATTGCTCACCTTCTCCTGACTTGCCTATTGCACTGAGACGCCCTGCAAGGGCTAGGAGACCACTTAGACCATGATAGCTTCAACACAGACAACCTACTCCTGCCATTGAGAGTGATGACAGTGATAGTAGTGATTCTGAGGCAGTTGATGATGAAGTGGCACACTTTGGAGACTCTGCTGAGCCTAGGTCATTTGCAGATGCAATAAAGCGTCCTGATGCAGATAAATAGAGAGAAGCAGCCATGGAGGAGCTCCAAGCTCATGAACACAATGGAATTTGGTCACTTGTGGAATTACCTCCTGGAGAAAAGGAAATTGGTGGCAAGTGGGTCTTCAAGATCAAGCGCAACTCTGATGGCTCCATTGAGCGCTACAAGGCCAGATATGTGGCTAAAGGTTACAACCAGTGCCCTGGCTTTAACTTCCTTGAAGCACCCACTGTTTGCATCTCATCTATCAGAGTTATCCTTGCAATTGCTGCCATCCACAACCTCCATTTGCACTTCATTGACATCTCTCATGCATTTCTCAATGGTGTCATGGATGTAAAGGTCTACATGCAGCAACCAGAGGGGTTTCATTAAGATGGTCATAATCTGGTCTGCCAACTCAACAAGGCCATTTATGGGACCAAGCAAGGAGGCAGGATGTGGAACCAGAAGATGAACATTGTGCTTGAAAAACTCGGATTTAATCGCACTTACTCTGACTCTGCCATCTATGTGTTTAATAGAGGTAAAGTGCACATCATTCTACCTGTCTTTGTTGATGACATGACACTGGCATCCACATCCAATTCTGCACAAGCTGTCAAGGACCTCTCTCAGCACTTCAAACTTTGTGATTTTGGCCCTACTTCCTACCTACTTGGCATTTCCATCACCAGAGACCTCAGCAATTGCACCATCTCCCTCTCCCAACATCAGTACACTCTGGACATTCTGGAGCGTTTTGGCATGAAGGACTGCAAGCCTGTGTCCACTCCCATGGACCCTGGTTCACGCCTCACCAGGGATATGTCTCCCAAGACACCAGAAGAAGTGCAACTGATGAAGGACATTCCCTATCTTGCTGCTGTTGGTGCTCTGATGTATTTGGCCACCACCACTCGTCCTGACATTACCCATACTGTTGGAGTTCTTGCCAGATTCAATTCTAATCCTGGGCCCACTCACTGGAGTGCTGTCAAACACTTATTCCGCTACTTGCAAGGCACCCTCAATCACCCACTTGTCCTTGGCCCTGATCCTAATTCCACTGAACTCTTCACCACTTTCTCTGATGCTGATCATGGTGGTGGTGACAAGGATTTTGAACGCTCTACTGGTGCTTACCTTGTCAAGATTGGATCTGGTGCTGTCTCTTGGAGTTCCAAACTTCAAAGCATTGTTGCTCTTTCCACCACTGAAGCAGAATATATTGCTGCTGTTGAAGCTGGCAAGGAGAATTGCTGGATTCAAAATCTGCTGAAGGCAATGGGCTATCCTATCACTTCTCCTTCCACCCTTCACATTGACAACCAGTCTGCCATCTCTGTGTCCAAGGATCCTGAACACCATGGTCAAATGAAGCACCTTGATTTATGTTGGCATTGGTTGAGAGATATTGTTGACTCTGGCCAAATTGCTCCCACTTTTTTGCCCACTGCTGAAATGCCTGCTGATTTGTTGACCAAGGCTCTGGCTAAAGCCTAAAGTTGAAATGTTCAGACAGATGATGGGACTTGTTAGATCAGGGGGGAGCTGATGCTTGGGAGGTGCAGCTAATAAAACTAAGTGAAACTCAGCCGCTGCCTGAGAGG